AAGTGAGTGAGAGAGAGAAAGAGAAAGTGAGTGAGAGAGAGAAAGAGCGAGTGAGAGAGAGAGAGAGAGAGAGAGAAGAGAAGAGAAGAAAGAAGAGAAAAAGCAGATGAAAATCAACAGCTTGCTAATGAAACTGCCATGTTTATCTGTCATGTTTACCTGTGGCATTTACCTGTGGCATTTACCTGTGGCATTTACCTGTGGTGTCGATCTACCTGTCATGTTTACCTGTCATGTTTACCTGTGGTGTCTACCTGTCATGTTTACCTGTCATGTTTACATTCTGTATTTACCTATCGTGTTTACTTGTGGTGTTTGCCTATCTTATTCGTCTCTGGTGGGTTTGCCCGCTTTGTTTACTTTGCGTGCTCGTAATGCTGTATTTAGCTCTGATGCATACCCATCCTGGCTGTCAGTGTTGACATATTATTCTGCTCTATGATATACGGCCACCGGCACGTGTTGAGCTGTAATAATTAGCGGAAATGTTTATCCCTCTGCTTGCTTCGTTTACAGCAACGAGTACCTCACATTCCAGAAGATTGAGAAGTTGGAGTACGACTTTCCAGATGGCTTCAACGAGGTGGCGAAAGATCTCGTGCTCAACCTGCTGGTAGGGGGCGCTAAAACGCGTGCGGGCGCGGTCGGTCTGCGCCGACGGCGATCGTTAGTCGCGTTAATTGATTCGTTAGTTTTAATTAATTTTTCGTCGCGACTTTGCGGTGAGTTTTCCGTTTCTCGTCGATTGATGTGCGAAAAACAACGGGTCGTAGACTGCGTTCAAATTACTAAATTAATTCGTAGACTGTTAGAATTAATTCAACACGAGCCTTCGCCAAAACATTGTAGCGTTCGACCCTGAGACATCACATTACCCATCTTTCTGGCATCCCTCCATCTTGGTGTTTCTCCAGCTTGGCATCAATCTATCTCTGATGTCCCTCTAACTTGTCGTGGTACCCTATAGTTTTCTATTTTATATATATATAAAATAAAATAAATTATAGGGGGTTATATATATAATATATATCTTACTATAATTCGGCGAATGTTGTATGTTAATCAAAGGCTCCGACCCTGAGACATCACATTACCCATCTTTCTGG